AAGAGTAGGTCAGGTCAAGATGTGTGCTTGCCTTGTGGTCAGCCTTCAATACCCCTTGGTCTTCCTGGGCCCCTTCCACCAGGTGGAACTTGGGCTCATTTGGTCACTCAGGAGCTGGGCTGGGGGCTCCAGACATGGCTGTGGAGCATTGCCTGTGCTGTGCCAGGGCTGGGGTAGAGGCTCTGGGTAAATTGGGGTTCCAGGGCAGGGCAAGGCTGGACCTGCCTCTTCCTCCCCCCCACACAAAATGCTTCCAGCTAACAATCTCCTCCAGTCTGTCACAGGAAGCCAATGTTGGAGGTGACATCCCAATTCTGGCCATGGGCACCTGGCTGAGAAGGACAGTTCTTTTCCATAGGAAGGAAAGCGCAGAGCCCAAGTGTTTGGAAGGCAGGTGAGAGCCTCACTAGGCCAAGGCCAACCAGACTTGGCAGGAATGGCATATTTTGTCTTTGGATTTAAGGAATTTTGAAGGTGGAAGCCCAATCTTGCTCATGGGCAACTGGAGAAGCAAGACAATTCTCTCCCATGGGAAGGAAAGCACGGAGCCTTCCCCAGTGTTTTGGGGACAGATGGGAGGTGACCTTTGTGAAACCTCTGCAAGATAGACTTGTTCTGGCAATATTCCTATGGGAACAATCCCTGGAAATAAGAAAATTTGGAGGTGAAATTCCAATTCTGGCCATGGGTGGCTGGAGGGGAAGGACAGTTCTTTTCCATTGGGAAGGAAAGCACGGAGCCCCAGTATTTCAGAAGTAGATGAGAAGTGACGCTAAACATGCCAAGGTCAGCTGGACCAGTCAGGCAGTCCATGGGAGGCCAAAACCAGCCAGACCTATTCTGTGTTCCCTTGGTTTTATGGTGCCCCATAGTGTCACAAGGGTGCAGTGGGTCCATGGGGCCCCATAGTGTCATAATTGTTGCCTTGATTCCATGGGGTCCAGCAGTGTCACAATTACACATTGTTTACAAGAAGACCAGCTGTGTCACACTGGCCCCAAGGTTCGATGGCATCCCACAGTGTCACAGTGGCCCCTAGGTGCCAGAAGGCCACAAAGTGTCACAATGGTCCCAATGATTCCATGTGGCCTTGCAGTGTCACCATGGTCTCTGTGGTTCCCCGGGCCCCACAATGTCACATGACTCCTCTGTTCCATGAACCCTGCAAGGCCATAATGTATCTTTGGACCCTGGGGGTTTGCTGTGTCACGATGGTCTCCTTTGACCTCACAGTGTCACAATGGACCACTGATGACACGAGGCCCTGCAATGTCACAATGCACCTTTGGTTCCATGCAGCCCAGCAGTGTCACAAAGGCCTCTTGGTTTCACCAGGCCCCAGAGTATCACAATGGTCCTCTTGGTTCTGTGGGGACCCCCAGGGTCACAATGGTCTCACTGGTTCCATGAGGCCTCACAATGTCACAATGCTTTGCTTATTCCATGGGGCCTCATAGTGTCATAATGGTCTCCATGATTCCATGAGTCCCCTGAGTGTCACAATGGCCCCTTAGTTAGATGAGACTGTGAAGTGTCTTAATGGTGTCTCCATGATACCATGAGGCCTTGTAATGCCACAATGGAACTTTGGCTCCATGGAGTCACACAGCATTGCGATGGCCCCCTTGGTTCTGTGACACCCCAAAGCATCATAATGGTCTCCATGATTCCATGAGACCCCGTGGTGTCACACTGGTTCTATGGTTTGATGGGGCCTCTCATTGTCACAATGATCCCTACATTCCATGGAGCCACACAGCATCAGTACAGTCCCCTTGTTTCCATGAGGCCCAGCAACGTCACAGTGATCTCCATGATTCCATGAGACCCCCACAGTGTCACAATGGTCCCTTGGTCTCACAGGGCCCCACAATGTCACCATGGTCCCTTGGCTCCATGGGCCCTGTGCTGCTGCATTCCCCCCTCCCCTTCTCAGGCTGCCCTGCCAGCTCAGAAATGCTCCTTGCGCCTCCGCCTTGGCCAGCAGCCCCTGGGCTCAGCTCCTCTGCAGCTCAGCACAAACACTGTCTGCTCCAGGCTCTGCTGCTGCCCAACCAGCTCCTGGTTGCTGTAGGAGCAGCCCTGGGAACTGGTTTTGTTCCCTCAGTGGCACAACATTCCTGTTCTCACAGTGCCAAAGAAAGCTGTTGATGCCAAGTGTGGCCAGGATGAACCATTGCTGTGACTGCAGCCCCTCTCTTGGGGCCCTACAAACAGCGCTGCAAAAGGAGCCCCATGGAGCTCTCCTGGGCCAGCGACTCCCTCTGAGTGGGGCCTCTCCCAGCCGGGAACTCTCCCGTTTGCTGCACTCAGGGATCCTGAACAACGACGGAGCCTGGGCCTGTGCACAGAGGAGTGCCTGTGCTGGGGAAATGTGACAGAAATGCTGCTCTCGGAGGGGTTGGAGTGCCTTGGATAGCTGAGTCAGTCAGGCCTGTAAGTAAGGTTATGTCATGAGGAATAACGAAAGTTAAATGCTTTTAATAGTGGTTTTTCTGGTAAGTTTATTAATATAAGTTATAAGCTGAGTTAAATACTGTTAAATGTTATTTCTTTGTTAAATTGCAAAGTCATAGGGCCTAAGTTAGGCGAAATAGTATTAAGTGCTTTTCTGTTGCTAAATTGTGAAGTTTAACGTAGAAGTTAAGGATAAGATGGAAGTTAAGGTTAAGTTATAAATTAAGTCCTGTTAGGTTTGAGCTCTGTTTGGCATTTAGGCCATATTCCTTTTATCCTTGCCATCACTGTCCTGATGTCACACACACATAGGGACAGTTCTCAGTTCATTTCCGGTTTGATTGCCAGGATTTGGCTTGGTTTTGTTGTCGCTTTGTTTCCCTGGTGTGCCTGAAGTGTCCAGTCAGAAGCAGATTGAGTCTTGCCAAGGAACTCTGTGGTGCCATTGCTTAATATTAAATCTGGTTGTTGCTGATCCCTTGCTGGTGATGTTTCCAGTGCCATCAAGCCCTCGTTCGTAACAGGGTGAAGGAGCCCTTGCCCAGGCTCTGGCCCTGGGGGACACGGGGAGGCTGCCGGGGGATCCCTGTCCCCTTGTCCCACCCCCCAGGGCTCCGGCCCCCCGTCCCCGTGTCAGGCTCTGGGGTCGATCTCGTGGAACATCCTCTGGGGGAGGCTGTGGCGCTGGGGGAGCCGGGGGGACCCGGGGGGACAGGGGACTCCGCTGTGCACGAGCAGTGTTGGACTGCTCTGGGGGAACTGTGAGGGGGGGCTGAGGCAGAGTGACCTCCCCAGTGACCTCACAGAGCCCCTGTGATGTCACGCATCCCTGTGATGTCACACATCCACCTGTGATGTCACAGAGCCCTTTGATGCCACCCTGGAATACCATGAAGCTGCACTGTGATGTCACAGAGGACTCTGTGATGTCACAAAGTCACTCTGTGATGTCAGAGACTGTTCTGTGGTGTCAGACCTGTCTCTGTGATGTTACTCAGTCACCCGGTGATGTCACAACCCACTCTCTGATGTCACAGAGCCAACATCCCTGATGGGAGAGTTTGCTCCATGGCCTCACATCATACTCTATGATGTCAAAGCCAGCTCTGTGATGTCACAACCAACTCAGTGATATCAAAAAACCCTCTCTATGATGTGATCCTGCCACTCTGTAATGTCACAGCACAGCCCACTCTGTGATGTCATACAGCTATGCAATGATGTCACAACCTGCTCTGTGATGTCACACAGTCCCCTCTATGATGCTCTAGCTGCCCAATCATAAATATATCTGGTATACCATCGTTAATCCTGTGGGACAAATTGTATTAAGGTACAATTCCACGTGTATAATCTCTACACCTTTGAAAAAGTCTGGGGATGGGATTTGATCCAGCCACTCCCAGTCTCCTTTTTCAGAATGAATTTTAGAAGCCTAGGGGCCCTACAGGGGTTTGAGGATCCATGGTGGGTGTTGCGTGCCATTTCTCCACCTCATGACTCAGCAGGAGTTTCTCCAATAAAGAACTAAAGCTTTTGCCTGAAGCTCCCACTCTGCCCATGACAGGAAGCCCTGGGAGTGTCTGGGACATCCCGGCTCTTTGGCAGCCTGGGGATTCCTGGGATGTCACCACGGAGCCCCCCGTGTGTGCCTGTGACAGATCAGTGCCTTTGCAGCCCAAGGTGGCCTGGGAGGTCACCATGGAATGGCTGTGACTGTCTGTGACCACAGAAGATCTATACCATCCCCAGAAACACCTGGGAGGTGTCCATGGAGCCCCTGTCTCTGCCTGTGACATTCCAGCTCTTGAACAGCCTGGAGACTCTTGCAAATCCCATGGAACCCCTCTGAGGGCCTGTGACAAATCTGATCCTTAGCATGGCAACCAGGGCTGGGACCAGCTGGGATGCTTGGTTTCCACAGGGCGGGGTTCAGGAATGGGATTCCCCAATTTCCAGCTCCCGCTAAAACCACACTGCCGATTGCTGCCCTCCTGCCTCCCATGGAAAGCACAGAAGGCAAAGATCCTGGACTAGAATAGGAACAATTTTTTGGGAACAGCAACAAGATCAGGAACAAACAGGAACAGCAACAATATTGATAACAAGAGGGATAAGAAAAATGGAAAACTACAATTCAGCTGCCGGGGTCAGCTGTTACTTTTCTCTGCCCCAGCACGGGAAAAGGTGGTTCTGAGCAGGCCCTTCCTGGGTTCCAAAACTCAGCTGACTGTCTCTTCCTGGACACAATTTCCTCCTGCCTGGAAAGGACACCCTTCTCCTCGAGGGGAGAGAGAGACTCCCTTTCCTGCCCCTGGCCATGACCTGAGATGGGAGTGAATGGAATGTCATGGCCATGATTCTTCAATTCCACATCATGTCATTGGAAGGGGCAGGAAAAGGGACAGGTGTCTTCCCAGCATGGACCACAGGGAACATGGATCACCAGGGCTCTTCCCAACATGGGTCATCCAATGGGGGATGAAGCTGCAGCAGTGCATGAAGCTCTTCCAGCAGTTGGGGAATTTGCAGGGCTTCCCTTATCAGTGACTCCATTGGTGTCTGGTCAAGTCAGAGCTCTGAGTGAAGCTCTTGCCACACCGCGGACACTCGTAGGGTCTCTCCCCAGTGTGGATGCGCTGGGGGGGGATGAGGGGGGAATTGCGCTTGAAGCCCTTCCCGCAGTCAGGGCAGAGGAAGGGCCTCTCATCGGGGTGAATCCTCTGGTGCCTGAGAAGAGGGGAGCGGGTCTGAAATCTCTGCTGACACTCAAGGCATTCATAGAGCCTCTCCCCAGTGTGGATGCGCTGGGGGGGGATGAGGGGGGAATTGCGCTTGAAGCCCTTCCCGCAGTCAGGGCAGAGGAAGGGCCTCTCATCGGTGTGAATCCTCTGGTGCCTGAGAAGAGTGGAGCGGGTCTGAAATCTCTTTTGACACTCAAGGCATTCATAGAGCCTCTCCCCAGTGTGGATGCATTGGTGGGTCACGAGGGTGGATCTGTAGCTGAAGCCCTTCCCACACTCCCCACACTCGTAGGGCCATTCCCCGGTGTGGATCATCTGGTGGCAGATCAAGGTGCTGCTCCGCCTGAAGCTCTTCCCACACTCCAAGCACTTGTAGGGCTTCTCCCCATCATCAATCTGCTTATGGACCACCAGCTCTGAGCTCTGGCTGAAGCTCTGTCCACCTTCCTGGCACAGGGTGGGTCTTTCCTCCTCAGAGCACCCAGGGCTGGGTTTGGAGCCCCTCCTCCTACAGGATCTCAGGGAAATTTCTTCCCCAATGGATTCCTGTGCCATGGAGCCACTCAAATCTGCCTCTTCCACAAGGTTCTGCTGTGGAGATTTGTCCTTGCTGGTCTCCATCCTTACCTCCTTGTCTGAGGAAGGCAGGGCAAGGAGAGGATGGGATTTGCCTCCGTGCCAGAGGGAAGGGGAAGGAGATCCTCCCCTGCATGCATCCCTGGCATTATGGAGTTGGAAACAGGGCTGTCCTGCAGCCTTGGGCTGTGCTGTGCAAGGAGATGGAGCAGGAGAGAGGGGGAAATGGGCTGTGACTACCTCCTCACTTACCTGGTGGTCCCGGGACATCTTCCTCTTCCTCGCAGCCTTCTCCTCCATCTGGCGGTGGTTTTGGGATGGGAAATTCTGTTTTGGGAGGAAAACAAGAGATGAGTGCATTGAGTTTTGTACCAAGGGGAGATTAAAGCCAGAATTACAATTTAATAAGAAATTTATATTTTAATTTAATTTAATTTAATAAGAAAATTAAGATCGAGACAATGATACAGAAACACTGCCTTAAATTAGGTGGCTGGGTTGCCAGTGGAAAGAAAATGTTTTGTTGTCCTTCCTTGAAAAGTTTCTTAAAAACACTGGAGGAAAGGCAGCAAATGATACCAGCAAGGTTGATAAGGTTCATTCACCCCAAAGTAAGGAACACAAGGCTGCTAAAAGTTCCACAAGAAGCCCAGCTCAAGCAGCTAAATTCCTGAATAAATGCCAAATTCAGAGGCTTAGGGACTTTGCCAAATGTGAGAATCATTATTCTCTTCGTCCCTGTCACCTTTGTGACAGCCCCACAGTGCTTTCTCTTCCTTTTAGTAATCTATAGTGGGCCAAATTTCCACTTTTCTTTTATGGGACCCTGCCAGCAGCTGAGCTGGAGCTGTGCAGCAACCAATGAAACTTGGAATTGCCACAGAATTGCTTCTATTATCAGTTTACTAATGTATTGGATTTGTTTGCATTTTAATCACATGTTACTTGTGGGAAAATCAAATATTCATCAAAGTGATTAATGCAGAGTAAAATTTGATTTCTGCCAAGTTTATTTTGTCCAGTGCCCAGGGATTGTTCGAGGGGTCTCTGGGCCTCTCACACTGGGGGTTGCTTGGGAGGGGCTTGTGGGGGTTGTCCCTGTCCCTGTCACCCCAGGCCATTCCCCAGTGAGTCTCCATTATTCTCACCCCAGGGAATGTCCAACGGGTCTCCCTCTCACCTTCTGGCATGGGATGCTCAGGGCAGTTCTG